GCCTGGGGGCAGCGGCCGGCCAGGTGCCCCGTGCCGGGGCTCGGCTTGGGCTGCCAGGGTTGCTTGGAGCTGTTTGCGGCGCTCGCGTCTGTTGCGCGAGTCGATGATCCCGCAGCACCCCGGGGCTCAAGGTGTCGGAGTGCCCGAGGGGCTCGCCCTGGGCTGTGGTCCTCGGTGGCCGTGGGGTCGCCCGGCGCTTAGGAGCTGCGCTGGGTCCCAGCTCTGGTAGGCCGCCTAACCTTGCCAGAGACTCGAGCCTCCTCGGTCCCTGCCCACCACTCTTGCAGCTTCCCCCTCCTTTCTCTCCTCGAGAAGTTAATTTAACAACAACAAAAAAATACGTACAAAATCCAGATGTTCTTTGCACTGAGCCCCAAAGGAAAAAAAAAATAACTCCAAGCTGGAGGAATTTATTTTTCTAGTGCTTTGCTCTAACGCCGCCCCCCGGCCTTGGGGAGCGCGTCTGTCGGATCCGTCCCGATCCGCGTCCAGCAGCGTAGTCCTCAGGGCCCCGCGCCCGGTTGAGGCCGTGGCTACGCCGCCACCTCGCCTCTGTCTCGCGGGGCCGCTTCCCGCGTTCCTATTTCTTCTGCCACAGCAGTTTGCGGTCGACTGTGGTTTTGGCGCGTCTCTCTCCTCCTTCCCTTCCTTCCTTCCACCCTCCCGCTCTCCCAAATCCGGGATGTCTGCGCCTAATGACTTTTAGGGATCCTTGCACATTGAGGTCTGGGGTGGCACCGAGGCAAGACGCCGTCTCTTCCCACCCTTCTCAGCCTCCGACCTCAGGGCGCGGCCCCTAGGAGCCGCCCTTGGGAGCTGAGGCCGCCCTTTCCCCGTCAGTCCGAGCCCTGGCTCTGGGCGTCCCGTGTCCGGCGGGCACTCTCTGGCCGCCGCCCTCCTGTCACCTGTTCCTCAGCTCTGGCCTGGGGCACCCGCGCTCAGCCGCCTGGCCGGCAGAGGGCCTCGTTGGCCCAGGAATCTGGCGCCGGCCTGGGCGGGGAGAGGCTGACTGGGCCGAGGAGCCCTGCAGGTGTATCCTGTTCTCAAAGAAAATAAAATATTTTCATGGGAAACTTTCCTTTTGTGTTTTTCTTTCTCCCCCTTTCTTCTCCTTCTGTTCCTTTCTCCGGGGTTGTCTTCCAGGGTCAGCTCGGTGTCTCCTTTCCCGGGAGCTCCAACCCTGTAACCTTCTCTGTTGGTTCCTGGACCTGGGCCCACTGTGTACAAGACTTTTAGGGTTCCTACTGTGAAAGGGGAGAGGGTCATCTTAGGAGGACGTTTTAGCCCCAACTCCCAGACGGTGGAGGCCCTCAGCTATACCCATTGGAGAAGGAGGGAGAGTTAGAGGATGAGCACTCTGGTGGTGAGCCAGGAGTGGCCTTGTTGGCCAGCTGTGTCTTCCCGCTCTGCCAGGCTCCAGCACACGAGACTGCTCCAGCTTTGTACACACCCTGCCTTGTCAGTGCCCCAGGGCTTTGCTCTGCAGCCTTCTCTGCAGTCTCCCTGCTGCTGGTGCTGCTCCCCTTGCAGGTCTGGGCTTGTGGGCCTTCTGAAGGTCTAGGTCCAGCCCAGCACTGCCAGTCGTGCAGACATTGCTCCAGTTTCTCCTAGCTTTCCCCGTGCCCCCGCTCCAGGGTCATCATGTTCTGCTTTTTTAGACATGTGTATGTGTTTAGTTCCCTTGCAGGAAACAAACCTAGTGTTACCACTAAGGAAGAATTTAAGATCTGGTAATGGTTCTTCCAGCCAGCCTTCTGATCCCTGCTTTCTGCCGCTTCCCCCAGATTCTGTCAAGAGAGGCTCCTCTGAGTCCTACCTAGTGAGCATGATCCTCTTTGTAGCTATACTGGGCAAGGGAATAGGGAAGTAGGCATGCTTCTCTGGGGGACTGTCAAACCTGGATTGGGATCTCCCCAAACCAGGAGGCAGGAGCAAAGGAGAAGGCTAGAGAAGACCTCTGAACTTTTTGCCCAATCTTACAAATCCAGGGGAAGTTGGTGGGATGGGCTGGAGAAGAGAAGGGGGCAAGACAAGCTGTGACGATAACTTTCTATCTTCAGGTCCTGAAAAGGGCCAGATAGTAAAGGGAGGAAGAGGCTAAGAACTTCAGGGTCTGTGAGGAGCTTGGAGGGTGAGGGGAGCTGGGGCCCTCTCTGTAGTCTGCTAGGACTTTGAGACACTGCAAGCTCTCTCCTGGAGCCTTATAGAGGGAGTAGGAAGAAGGGGTTCCATCCAGGCCGCTTCTTTCCCTTCCCCCATCAGAAAGCTCTGCCTGGCACGGAGGCTCCCAGCTCCAGTTACAGCCCAGAAACCCAGCGAGCCTGGCCTGGGGGAGGCATCACGTGGCCAAGTGCGCCCTCCCTGCCCCCTCCCCCAGCCTGCAACCCTACCCGAGGCTGCCCTGCTCCTCTTGCCCTCTTCTGCAGCTCCAGATACCAGACCAGACCCCTTTGGGCCAGCCTATGTGGGGCAATAGGACGCCCCATCCCTTCCTCCCTGTGGTGGGCTCCAATGCCTCCTTGGCTTGAGTGCATCTTGGCTTGATTAGCAGGTGGTGTTTCCATCTGGTTCTGTGAGGGCTGCAGTATCTGTGCAGGGGCCTGAGTTGGTTTGGCCTGGTGCCCTTCTGTGGCAGAGGGGTGGGCCTGAGCTTGAGCAGATGAGCGGACCCAAGGTCACGTGTCAAGTTTAGGATATGGACTTGGCTTTGTTATGTCCCCTTCTGGAGGCTGTGGATTATGCACGTGGGTGGGTTGACAACTTGGCTTGTCTTCCATAAGCAGGCATTTATACCCACATGGCCCCTGGGCTGATGTTTAAGGTTGATGAGAGGTGATGGGCCTGGAAGGCTGTGTACATGAAATGTAGAGCAAATGTGGGGAATTGTTCCTTGCCTGGGCCAGCAAAGTCCAGACCCTTGGGCATGATGCCTGCACATTCCCTGCAGATGTGGAGTGAGAGCTGGGGGTGGATCTGGAGGGACTGGTTGTGATTCGTTTTGGGGCAGCTGGCCTCTCCCTGGACCTCCAATCTACGGTGGGGGTGGATGACCAGAGCAGGGCCAAGTGAGGTCGGTGCAGAGCTCCCTAGAACCTGGCAGCCCTTTTCTTAGAGAGCCCACAGAGGCTGCCAGCTCCAGTGAGGTACTCAGGGAAGCCGGCAGGAGGAAGCTGGCTAGGCAGCTGCATGGGCCTATCTGTGCAAAGCAATGGCCTGAGGACTTTAAGCTGACTTCTCTAAAAGGGGAGGAAAGTATCCTAAACTTAGAGGCTTTCCTGTTAGCTTTGGTTAAGATACCTCTGCAAGCTGCTTGAGGCCAAACTTTGCTGCAGACTGCTCATGGACTACAGGCCACTCCTCTGATCCTGTCTTCTGCCACCTAGCTTCCTTCTTACAAGATGAGGCAAGACCTATCATGAGGGTCCCCTGCCTTGACTGAAGAGCTGCAGGCTGCTAGCCTATACGCCGCAGGAAGGGCTCTGGGCTGACATCAATGACAGACAAATGCTGGTGGGCTGCCTGCTCTGCATCATGTAGTTAGGCACCAGGTCATCCTTAGATGCTAGTCTCTTTTTTGTTACTGTGATGCAGTTCCCATGCCATAAAGCTCATCCTTTAAAAGTACAGTTCAGTGGTTTTTAGTATCCCTACATGGCTGTGCAGCCAACCACAATCTAATTCCAGAACATTTTCATCAACTCAGAAGGAAACTGTTCCCATTGTCCTCATTCCCATTCCCACCTTTCCTAGCCCTGAAAGTCACTTATCTGCTACTGATGATTTAACCTATTTTAGACATTTTGTACAGATTCATATGCTATGTGACCATGTGTGAACTGTCTTCATTCAGCATGCTTTCAAGGGACATTGTACTATGGCATGTATCAGAACTTCATTCCTTTTTTATGACTGAATAATGGTCATCATATGGATACATCACATTTTACTGATTCATTTATGGTCAGATCATAGACAATTCAGACTGTTTTTATGCTTTGGCTATTGTGAATAATGCTGCTGTAAGTGTCTATGTACAAGTTTTCATGTGAACACATTTTCATTTCTTCTGGGAATTGTGGAACTGCCAAGCCATATGGTAACTTTGTTTTACTTTTTGAGGAACTGCCAGACTTTTCCTCAGAGGTATATACCATTTGGAGTTCTCTCAGCAGTGTCTGAAGCTTTTAATTTTTCTGCAATGCTCACTTCTCCATCTTTCTGATTGTAGCCATCCCAACTAAACTCAAGCCATCAAACTGAAACTGATTCATAGCTGACCCACCAGTAGGTTTTCAGAGGCTTAGTGCAGGAGAGAGCAGTGCTCATTCTTCTCCTGTGGAGCAGTTGGTGGTTTTGAACCCCTTGACTTTGGGTTAGCAGCAGAGCTCTATCACTAGGCCACCAGATGTCTCTCATAGTGGAGGTAAAGTAGTATCTCATTGTGGGTTTATTTTTTTTTATTACTAATTTTAATGAAAGTTTACAGAGACTTTGGATTTCCACTCATTGTTGCACTTTTCTCCCTGCCTACCCCTCCCCCCAGTTAGCGTTTCTCTTTGAAATGTAAGAAAAAATTCTTTCATTGTTATATAAAGCCCCCTCCCCCGTCCACTCTACCATCTCACTGTGATGTTTAATCTGCGTTTCCCTGATAGCACATGACATTGAACATCTTTTCATATACTTGTTGCCCATTTGTGTATCTTTTCTGGGGAAGTGTATGTTCAAATCTTTTGCCCATTTTTCAGATGGGTTATTTGTCTTTTTTTGTTGTTGAATTGCATAAGCTCTTCATACAGACAGGATGTATTTCCAGATCTAGAAGACGCTTCCTGACCAGCACACTGGTGCTCTCTCTCACTGCTGTGCACAGGAGTGTCCTAGCCCTGTTGGCTCCTGAGCCGCTTGAATCTTTTCCAAAGCTGCCTCTCTGTGCTGACCAGCTCCGTGTCAGGTGAGGGGAGCCAGTGTGAAAGTGGTTGTCACTGTGTACTGGTGCCTGGCACAGGAAAGGATGCCCCCTAGAATAACTGCCATATGTAGAAGGGGCTTTGTTCCTTGAGGAGGTGTACATGAGGCCCCTGGGGTCAGGAGGAAAGCTGTGAGGTCAAGGAATGCTTCCTGCATCCTTGTGCATAAGCTAGGGACCCAGGGAATGTGATCACCAGTCCTGCACCCCAGCTGCGCCAAGTGGGTGCTCATCTGCCTCCTGGCGTGAAGTGGAGAAGGGGAGAAATTTTGCAGGTGACAGGAGGAACCTTCTGGGTGCTGGAGACTCATGAGACTTCATGGCAGGACCGGAGGGTAGGCAGGGAGAACGTATGAAGTTGTGGGCTTAGAAAAGGGTAAGCAGGGTGCCGGCCTCACTGTGGATGTTGAGAGCTGCAGAGGTAGAAGATGTCAGTCTAGGGTGACCCGGAGCAAGGAGTGGTGAGCGTTTGAGAAGAGGTGGGGAACAGAGCAGGGTCAGGTGAGGGGCTGCTGGAGGGTGGTGGCTGATGCCTGACCTCAAGTCCAGCTCTTGGCTGGGGGCCTGGCCCTGGTGGACACAGGGGTTTGGGAAGACAGGTCGGCTTATAGGAGATTAGTTCAGCTTCTGGTTTGGGTTAACAAGTCCAGTTCTGAGAAGGCCTTGCCGATGGACACCCATCCCAGAAGTGACCCATGAAGTGCTGAGAGTGTTTTGAGGAGTCATGAGAGGAAGAGCAGTGCCTAGAAGATGAACTTGTCCATTGGTGGCCCAAATAAGCTGGAGGGAGACCCCAGTAGACTGAGGAGTGAGAAAGTCTTGTTTTGAAATCCCTGAACGTGCCAATCAGGTAGCAGGGCAGAGTCCAGCCCAGCTCTGGCACTCTACTCCAGGTGTCCTGCGTGGGGAGGAAGGGGAGAGTCTTTGACAGCACACAGGACTCTTTAGCCAACAGGGAGGATGCACTGCTCAGAAAAGGGGTCTGGGAACTGTGACCAATGAGCTGCAAGTAGGCAGGCTGTAAGGTGGTTTTGGGCCCAGGCCTCATCACCTGAAGGGACTGTCATGTCAGGGAGAGCCCTGCTCCCCCTTCCCACCCTGCTCCAGCTTGCCTTGGAGAGGTCCCAGCTTGACCCTCACCTCCACAGCTGTCTGTGAGGCATATGTGGGGGTCCCCCACAGGACTAGTGGGGCACTCTGCTTTGCCCACCAACACAGAGACCAAGGTGGAGCAGGATATGGGCAACTCCTTACCCACACCTGGGATGGGACCTTGGAGGTTTCCTCTACAGCCCTGGGCCCCGAGGTGGGTTATGCTCAGCTCACATGGGAGCAATGATTCTGTGAGCTGAGGGCTGGAACGAAGACAACCTGGCTCCCTCAGCTGTGTGAACAGATGTCTTGCCCACAGCCGCCCAGGCTTCCTGTGCTGGCGGCCGTCTGCACAGGGAGACAGCTGGGCCTAATCTCGCCTCCCGGCCCACTCCACAGGCTCTTTCTTGCCACCAGTGTGGCTTGGGTCCCTGCCCTGGGCCAGCAGAGCTCCTGTGGGCAGTGGGCATCAGCAGGGGCACGGGTGTTCCTCCCAGTGGCTTCCAGGGTGGCCTTCCAAGGGCGAGGGCACTCAGCTGTCCCCTGGCCCCGGCTCCAGGGGGTTTAGCCTTACAACGAATGAACACAATAGGAGAAGTGTGTGGATAATTTTTTTCTTCTAGAAAAGAATGCACACACACAGATTCCTTCTGGGGAAGGTCGGGCTTGGTGGCTGCTGGAGCCCCAGGGGAGGAGAGATGGGCTGATAAAGGCTGCGGGCAGGCGGGCGGGCATGCAGGGAGGGAGAGGCGGGTGTGGGTCCTCTTTCCTGGCTGCAGAAAGACGACACCTGTTGAGCAGGCCTCGCTCCCTACTCCATCTTAATCCTCGGCCTGAGGGGCACCCGGCTCCCTTTGTGCATTGTCACAGGCGGTGGGGGTGCCCCACAAGTGCCCACCCTGGCTGAGTGTGGTAGGGAAGGCACACAAACAGATGCAGCTGCTTGGGAAGGTAGACTTGGTATTCTCCCCAGGGCTGGAGGGAGGCACAGTTAGGGGCCGGATTCCTGGGAGTTGCACCTGCCATCTGACTGTGTCCGGGCTGGTCCTGGAAGCATAGGAGGGAGCTGCTTGGGCTAGAAGGTACCTTGCTGGACAGGGGCTCACCAGTCCCCAGGACTCATCAGTCTCTGGGTTCTATTTCTGCTGTCGTCTCTTCACGAAGCCTGACTTGATAACTTCTAGCACAGTCACTTTGGGCATGTTGTCCAGAGAGGGACCAGTCCTTAGAAGAAAGACATTATTCTGGGCAAAGTGGAGGGTCATTGAAAGAAAGGAAGAGCCTTAACAAGATGATTTGATACAGCGATAGTAAGAATGAACCGGGGCATGTTGGAGATGGTGAAGACGGCACAGGATAGGCCAAGGTTTGGATCTGTTGTTCACAGGGTCCTGAGTCATAGTTGACTTGATGGCACAACCAACCACCAAAATGGCACAATTGCAGTTTAGTTCTGGGAAGAGGAGCCCGAAGTCACCCCACACTGTGCTTCTTCCTTGAGTTGAAGCCTATGTGTGATTCTGAGCCTCTTTGTGGGTATGAAGGAGGAGCCTGGGGCGGGGCCAACTCTCATCCACAGGTTAGGCCACCCCTGCCTGCTGGGGCTGCTGTGCCTCAGCACTTCTCTTGGCGTGGGAGGTGGCTGGAGATGGCACAGTGGGGCCTGCCTTCCGCACTTTTGTGGCCTGGATAACAGACCACTGGGATAGTGTATAGTGCAAAGCTATCAGCCCGAGATGGAATGAGGGGCCAAGTGGGCCTCCGGAGGAAGTAGAGACAGAAGACGTCAAAGCTGCCTCTGGGTGGAGTGGGAGCTTTGGAGCTCTCTAGTAGCTTATGGTGGGTTTGTGAAGCCTGACCTGTCATGAGTGGTTCACTATTGGGGAACTCCTGTGCTATGTGTATGAATATGGGGTGAATATGGAGCCTGCCTTGGACATTGATGGTGTGGTATTTTGGTGCAGGTTGAGGTGTTCAATGTGAGGAGGACAGGGCTGCAATTGGGCACTGCCTCCTGCCCTTCACAGGGTTTGGTTTCAGATGACTACTGGGTGGGGTAAGGGCCCGGGACGGTGGGGTGGGGAGCAGAGGTTGGCTAAGAGCTTAGGGATGGATGAGCAGAGGCCCTCTGGCTGGACATGTTAGAGAGCTGAGTGGGGCCTGGTCTGTGAGGCTGATGGGCTCTGCAAGCGTCCAGAGCGTGGCCAGAGGCTGGGTTCAGCAGCGATTAACCCGTGCTTCCTGTGGGGCTAATCATTAAGGAACATCTGTTCTTCGGGGGCTGGCAGGCAGGTGGTTGAGCTTCGACTTTCTCTGCACTGGGCGGCGCCCTGTCCTCACTGTCCCTGCCTGTGACCCTCAGGCCCCAGGGCTCGGCAGCCCTTCCAGCCCCCCAGCCACGGTCCTGGTTGGGCGCTGGCCTGTCTGCTGAAGGAAATGCCGCTGTTCAGCTGGCAGCTCCGCGACCGCGGGACCGGCATCCCGGACGAGGGAATGGAAAAAGTCAAACCTCAGGCTGCGTTTGTTTTTCTTAGCGATACCTGAGGTAGAGGAGCCAGGGGAAGTGGGTTGGAGATCTGGCCCGAGGAGGAGAGGCAGCCAGAGGATCACACAACCAGAGTGCTGCGTCAGAGAGGCGCGGCGTGGCCTCGAGCCAGCGTCCTCCTGACACGCGGTGGCCAGGGTCACCCTGGGGTGGCGAGCGGGCCAGGTGGAGGCACTCCTCACTCACCCTGTCCAATCTGCATGAGTAAGGACAAGGGATCTGCATCTGGGGGACGATGCCACGGGGCCCAGAAAGCTAAGATGCACTGACCCAGACACGGCAGGGTGCATGCATCTTCTGCCAGGATCACTGTCCACTGGAGACCCTTCTTCCACCCAGCACACCACTTCCCCATGAGTGACTGAGGGTGTCATGGAAATTAGGGTTCCCCCAGCTGCAGAGCAGACCTTGACTGGGCACCCTGCTTCAGTGGGATGACAGTGAGGTGGAAGCTGGGATAGCCTCTGTGGGGCAGGCCTCTGGGAGCCAGCATCAGGTCAGACTCCAGAGAAGCTTCAGTGTCTGCCCTGGGATGGTAGGCTCTAGGCCTGCTCTAGAAGATGCAGTGGTTGACTTGAAGCCCTCAGGTCTCCCAGACTCACAGTAGGGCGGTGCATCTGAACGTATGTGGACACAGTGCAGGATGGGTGCTGGTCACTTGGAGGAGACTTCACGTGACTTGATTTTATGATGGTGGAGGTCTTTGCTAACACTGGTATGTGTCTCTGTCCAGTGACTGTCCTGCTTGGCCAACCTCCTTGGGGTCCAGCCTTCTGTGACCTGGGACTTGCAAATGATAGATGGCAAATGATAGATGCCAGCTCAGCCTGGGCTGGAAACTTTCTGCGTGCTGTCTCTGTTCACTGCTGCTGTGGAGGATAGTGCCCGGGCTCTATTCTGGATATAGCTTGACAATGGTGGGTCCTGGACAGCACTGAAGCACCCGCTTCCAGAAGAAGGGATGGAAGCTGTGAGGTCTGATTACTTCTGGAGGGTCATGTGCCACCAGTCCCTAGCTGCCCTCACACAGGTGGCCTGACCCCAGAAGCCCTCCTGGCCTTCCTTGTCTGAGTGGGGTTGCCCACCATGCTCAGCTTAGGCATTCCCACCATGGTGTGCTCTGCCCATTGTCAGACTGTAAGACTGTAAGGAGCCCCAGCTGCCAATGTTCTTATTCTCCGCTGTCACTTTGGGAGACCTTGTTCTCAGCCTCAGCCAACTTACTTTCTACCTCTATTGAAAGAAGAAGACGGTGAAATGGGATGAATTGGAGGACACAGGGTTAAAATCCCCAAACCAGTTTCTCAGGGTTGGAATTTATTTTGATTTTGTTACATACAGAAATTAAATGCCGTCTGGTGGGGCTGAGGTTTCTTTGGCAAGGAGCTACGGCTTCTGAAAAGCCAGCCTTCTCCCTCGGTCCCACCCCAGGCTCTTGGCTCCAGACACTGGGGAGTGGCTGGTGGCAGAGGTGGCCGTTTGGGTGGCCGAGGTTAGCAGGCAGGAGGGGCAGATGCTGGGGTCAGCATGGCCTTCACAAGGGCTGCTTACAGTAGAAAGCTGAGACACTGTGAGAGCCCCTGCCTGTGACGAGAGGCAATGTGTGTGCACATGCTGGTCAAGGTTGACCAGATCAGAAGACTTGAAATGATCTCAGATGCTCAGAGCATCAGGAGACAGAGCCGTCCCCTTCTCTTTGAGAAATGGTGGAGAACCCAGCTACAGGGCCTGGGCTCTTCTTGCCTCTACCCTCGTCTCTGAGGGCAGAGACTCCAACCATACATGTCCTTCTGTGGCTGCTCGCCCCTAAGCAAGGCCTGGGGACCCCAAGTGTCAGTGCCGGCCACATGCCAGACGTGAGGACTTTGGGACGAGGTTGGGCATACACAGCCCATCCAGCGCTGGAGGCACCCTTCCAGGCGAGGCCCCACAGCTCTGGTCTTTGCACAGAGCCTGCTCTTCATGAGGAGTAAAGGTAGCTAAGTGGTGAGATGCTGGGCTCCAGCTGTGCTCTGTCCCGGCAGCTGAGGGTGGGTCTCCTAAGGCTGGCAGGCAGGGGGTGGAACTTGAGCATTTCAGGAAAGGCAAGAAGAAATTCCCAAACAGGAACCTCATCGAGGAGGGGCATGGACCAAGGGAAGATTCCACGGCGGGTGCTTTTGTAGGTGGATGTGCAGGTGGGACAGACAACATGTGTGCCTGAGAAGGGGGTGACATGGACAGGACACCTGTGCCCACCTGCCCTGCATCACATGCCAGCCTCTAGTGGGCACCTGGGGTGCTACAGATCCCACAACTGGCCTGGAGCCTCAGATTCTTCATCTGTCCTACGGAGTTGCCAAAGATGTGGTCAGGCAGCAAGACTGTGGAAGCACACAGCCTCCTGGGCCAGTCTGAGCAAACTCATTCTAGGCCCTCCTCTGTGGGACCAGCCCTGCAAGGCCTCTGCCTCTCAGGACAGGCTTCACCCAGGGAGGCTTGCTCCTGGTCACCGCTGATCTGCATCCCGACATCCCTGAGGGAGGTGCTGCTCTGAAACAGCCCCTAATTAAGAGTATGCCAGGGGAGGGTGCCTCTCTCGTGCCTCCCTTCCTACCGTCCTCAAGGCCAGTGCTCTCCAGTGCAGTGTCACACAGTAATGGAAATGCTATGGGTCCATTCTGCTCAGCGTGGCCCTGGGTGCAGCTCTAGTTTCTTCTTCTTCTTTTTTTTTAACTTCTTGTTTTAAATATAACATTTATACTCATTTGCTTACAAGTTCGTATAGTTTTTCACACTGAATATTTCCCATTTCCTTTACTCATCCCTCCCTCTGTCCATCAAATTGTGTGACTTTATGGTTATCGCCCTGCTCAACCTGACTCCTCTGCTCCTACCCTCCCCCCTTAGATCCTTATACACATTTTACTAGTTATCTTTCTAGTTCTACAATAATGGTCTTATGCAGTATTTGTCCTTAGGAGTCTGAGTTAGTTCACTTAGCATAATGCTCTCCAGACTCCCCTCCCTCCACAACCAAGTTATACAGTGTGCAGCTAGAATGCTTCTTGGAGGCAAAGGCAAAGCTTTGTCTCACATACTTTGGGAATGTTATTAGAAGAGGCAATTTCTTGGAAAGGATGTCTGTCTTGGAGGGTCGGTGAAAGGAAAATTATCAATGAGATAGTTTGACACAGTGCAGCAATGGGCTCATGTGTGTTAGAGTAGATGAGAATGGCACAGGACGGGGTTCAGATGTTCATAGGGTTGCTGTGAGTCGTAGTGGTCTCAGCAGCGCCTAACAGCAAGATGTCTTTCTACATGTCTGTTATGTGCATCCACCACTCGGTAATGAAGAGATGGGTGCCTGGCCGGTTGCCTTGCCTCCTTAGCTGAGGATCATGATAAAAGTGGACAACATGGTAGAGGTCAGAATGTTTAGAACCTTGCTCAGACCATATGGGGAACAGAGACCTGTCAAGAGGTTTGCTTTTTGGTTTTTTTTTTACATTTGAGGACTTAGTTCCAGTCTCGCCTGTAGTCCTTAAGAGCTATGCAACTTTGACCAAGTTATTTAAGCCTTCTGATCCTGTTTGCTACTTATATATTAGAACTAAAATACATACCTCACAGGGTTGTTGGGGGAATTTCATGAAAATATATGTGAACAGTGTACAGCAACTCACGTAGACCAGCCTTCTTGCTGAAAACAGCCAAAATGGAATTTATTTAAAAATAGCTAATTTTAAAAGCGCTGAAGAGCCGAAAAATGAAAAGATAATAGAAACTAAGAGGACAAAATGGATATGGAGAAAGCTTTTGCCCTAAGAGAATAGGAAATAAGAAAATAGCCATTTTTTATTTTGGAGGTCTCACAGCATGAGAGGCAGAGCAAAACATGGGGCCTGTACCTGCTGGAAAAGCTCTCAGAAGAGAACCCACAGCAGCTGGAGTTCCCAGAAGGCCGCAGCTGCAGAGCCCTCCAGGAGGCAGGGAAAGCCAGGCCTGCGCTTGGAGTAGCCTGACCTCAATCCCCCTGTGTGGTCCCGGCCTCCAGCCTTGCACTTGGTCTTGGTGGTTGGGACTGGAAGTACCTGTTGGAGCCAGGCTGGAGTACACATCCTTTTTGAAATCTATATTAGTTTCCTGGGGCTGCCACAACAAATACCATGAGTTTTGTGGCCCACGTCAACAGAAATTTATTCTTTTACCATTCTGGAGTTTGAAATCAGATGTTGTTAGGGCCATGATCTCTTTGAGGCCTTAGAATTCCTCTTAGCTCCTTTCCTGCTCCTAATGGCTTATATGTAGTATTTTGTGGTTTGTGGTTACCTGATTTCTATCTCTGCCTCCATCTTTATGTGTCTATCTTGTATCTCTTAGTCTTCTCCTTTTCTATCTCATATGAGGACATTTCTCGTTTGATTTAGGGCCCAGTCTATTTCAGTATGATCACATGTCAAGATCTTGAATTTATTTAATTACTTCTGCAATAACCCTTTTCCCAAATCACATTCTGAGATTTAGGACTTTGGGGAGGGATATTCTTGAACCTATTATAGTATCTTTATCTTCTGCTTCAAGTTATTCCTGCAAATGATTTCTCATATTCAATGACCTGTATACAGTCGGCAGTAACTAGGTATGGACAGAAATGAGACTGAGGATCTGCACACATAATAGCAACAGAGCATCACTCATTGAAGAAAACAATTCTGTATTTAAAGAAGTAAGATAAGCTTGGGATGCATCTTTTATTATTGGTTACATATTTTAAAGATTTTATTATTACTGTTTTTAATTGATATTTTAATGAAAGTTTACAGAAAACTTGGATTTTCATTCACTCATTACAGCACATTTTCCTACCTACCCCCCCATCCCAGTTCACTTTTCTCTTTAAAAAGATTATTTCATTGTTGCACAATTTCCTCCCTTCCCCCTGCCCATAGTCCACTTTTCTATGCATTTCTTATTTTGGACTGTTGTCATTCA